CACTCTTCCATCCATGCTCGACACAAGCCCCACTACTTCCTATTTTGACACTCCTGGCTCACTCTTGTGTTTGCCTTGTCACAAAGATAACTGAAGCAGAGATGGCAGAGACCCTGGGTTAATGGCTCCAGGCTAAGACAGCCACTGTACCCAGGTCTTTAGAGCACCATCCTGCCAGGGAGAAAGGAACTACTTAGAGTTTACCAGTGAAACCCCCCCTTGTCCATCTCAACACAGGCTCAGCTTGGCCACTGGTCAAGACAGCTGCCTCTCTCTGGACAAACTCAGAAGTCACAGGGCCTCACCTTAGTCTGAGAATGCTTTATGATATTTATCTCCTACCTGTCACCTTCTGCAGGACCCAGAGTTAACCTGGTCCTTTAAGGTGATTTTGCATATCTCTGCTGTGATTCATTAGATACTGATTTCTTCCACCTAACTCCCTGTGGGCCTGTTTTGCTTCACTCATTTCCTCATTCTTAGGGGAATTGTTAGTCTTTGGCACACAGATAACAGATCACCGTTCCCATTTTATAGACTGGAAAACCGAGGTTCAGAGTGGAAAGTCAGCTTCAGGGAGTCCAGTGGAGCTGGAATCTGAGACTGGGTCTATCTGGCTCTGAGTTGGAGGATTTCCAGAGGGAGGTGTGTGTGTGCTAGAGAGAAACAGGAGAGCCTGCGTGGAGGCACGAGTGAAAGACAGTGCCACACAGGTGAGGGAAACCTCGAAGCCAAACTTGGACCCTCTCCTGGCCCTGCCGGGGCACAACATCTGAGTGAGAGGCCACAGCAATGAGCTGGCCTCTGGAGTTCAACAGGCTGAGATCCACTCTCAGTTCTGTTCTGTCCCCTTGGGCCAGTGTCCAGGCCTCACAGAGCAGTTACATGGACTCAATATGAATTGTACATAAAACACGCAGTTTATAGTAGCTGCTCTGGGACTCTCTGCACAGGTCTCTTCACTACTTCTCTGGGCTGTGGCTGGTGAGCTGTGGATTCAGCCACCAGGGGGCCTTGCTGCCAATGTTGACAGCGCCTCTGGGCCCTGATGCGTGCACCCATTCATCCCCTCATTCCTCCGTGCTGTCACCAAACAGCTCTTGTGTCTCTTCCACGCCCAGTAGCGTCTTGGGCAATACTGAGAGCAGAGAGGGTGCGGCACAGCCCTGTTCTCAAGAAGCTTACAGTTAGCAAGGGATACTGTGGTGGAGAAAGTGGGGTGGGAGTGGGAGCTCAGAGGATGGATGATGACTGTGCAGAGGGGTTCGGAAGGCTTCTCAGAGGAGGAGACTTTTGAACTTGACTTTACAGGTTAAACAGGTTTCAATTCCCACTCTGCAGACTCTGACACCTCCCTGCAGCCCACTTGCATGCTCATAACTCCCCCTCTCTCTAAGCCACAAGCTTCTGTGAGCCCCAAACTTCAGGTCCCCACCATCTGTGCACAGAGTTGGAGGCCAAAGAGCCTGCTTGGGTGCAGGATAAAGAGGGGATGTGCGTGCACCTGGACATAGGCTAGGGAAAACCCAGGCTTTGGAGCCTGACAACCGAGGGTCCCTACCACTGCCTAGCAATGTGTCTGTGGACAAGTCACTTCACTTCTCCTCACCCCCACTCCCAGCCTCAGTTTCCTCCCTGTGAAACGAGGGTTATAACAGTCCTCAGCGAGCGTGCATATCTTCAGTATGGCTCCCTTGGCACCCAGCTCTCTTATCTATAAACTGGCATATTCTGTTAACCATCTCATCGCATCCCCTGGTGGGGACCATGCTGTGCCCCCTGGAGCGAAGAGCAGGACACTCTCCTGGAAGGCCTACTCAGACTCAGCCTCGCTTCACTTTGGGAAGACTCCCTTGGGTATTAGTGCCAGAGCCACAGAATTTGCACAAAGTGGATAGAATCCTAAAAAGTTACCTCCCAAGGCTCAGGAGCGAATCATCAGGGAGAAACTGGGGGAGGAATCCCTCACACTTTGATCTGCAAAGGGTATCTCTCTGGCCTGATTCACAAATTCAGTAGAAGGCAGTGTGGTCTGTGTCAGCTGTGCAACCTGACCAGTCATACCCTTCCCTGAGCCTCGATCTCCTTACCTGTCACATGGTGGTCACAGCAGTCCTTAGCTGTCATGGACCTATTTCTGTCATCTGTTCAGCATTTCTCCTTCTCCCTGGAATAGTAGCCCTCTCCTTCTTTGGGGATCTCCTTCTGCAAACACTGGTTCAGCTAAGGCTGTCATGGCTGCCATGATCCTGTCCCTTGGCCCATAGGTGAACATCTGATTAGAGACAGTCCAATCAGAAGCCTTCCCTGTTCTGTCTGGTTTTGTTTTGAATCAGAATTGAGAAAATGACTGTGGACTGAGATGCTCAGGGATTGTCATTGGCCACATGTCCTTTCTCATGGCAGAGTCTGTAGAGAGAAAGACAAACCGCGCGTGCGCGCACGAGAGAGAGAGAGAGAGAGAGAGAGAGAGAGAGAGAGAGAGAGAGAGACGGAGAGAGGAGTTTTGGCATGATTTGGGTCCCCAATTCCAGCTGTGTCTGGGCCCACTAGCCCTGTTCGCAATTTGGAAGTTCACCCTCTCTTAGATTTGAGGAGTCATTGCTTTGGCATTGGTTTCTAATGATATACTTTCTCCTGGGTATGTGTGTAGAATCAAATGAGCTAAAGCATGTGAAACGCTCAGCCTAAGCCCCGGCCCACTGCAGGCTCAGTAGGCATGAATTCCTTTCCCTTAATGGGCACCAGGCAAGGATGGGGGGTTGGCAAGATACCAGGAAGATGTGAGGCATCAGCACTCATGGAGTGATATAACTTAGCAGCTCCCAGGAAACTAGAGTCAGGCGCCTTGGGACCCTGTAGAGACCCACGGGAGGCCAGAACAAATGCCCAAGAGGAACATTTCATGGATAGATAGGGATAGGGCTAAGAAAAAAAAATTCTTGCCTCATCTCTTTGTGGGAGGAGAAGTTATCAACAGGTACTCCCTCTGTGTCAGGGATAAATGCTGGAGGTCCAGAAGATGGATGCCAGGAAAGGCTTTCCAGAAAAGGAACATTTGAGCTGGGATTTGAAGGATGGATAAGAGTTTGCCAAACAGGGGAAAGACTTGGAAAGGGACATTGGACTATCACTACTGATCAACCATTATTGTACAGAGTTGATTTGTATGAGGATTAAGATGGGCTGGGGTTGAATTCTGCTTCAACCAAACTTGAGACTCTTCTACACTTCTGTTCCTTATCTGCAAAATAAGGGAATAGGGATTTGTTTGTTTTCAGTATTAAAGGAGATAATATATGTAAAGCACCCAGAACAATGTGGTGGCAGAAAGCTATGGTTAAACACTCAAAAAATGTTTAGCTCATTATGAAAAGCCTTTATATTATCAAGTCCAATGCCCTTAAAATGATTATGGTACCATGTATTGTGCCCTTAAGTTCCAAGCATGGTGCTGAATTTGCTTAGCATGCTTTGTCTTATATAATCCGTCAATTTTAGAAGGTGAGTACAGCCATGCGCCACATAAAAACGTTTTGGTCACAATGGACTGCATGCCTATACACCGATGGTCCCGTAAGGTTATAATGGAGCTGGAAAATTCCTGTCACCTAGTGATGTCATAGCCATGGTAATGTCATAGTACAACACATCACATTACGTGTTTGTGGTGATGCTGGCGCAAAACAAACCCACTGCACTGCCACTTGTATAAAAGCAAAGCATACACAATTATGTATAGTACCTAATACTTGATAATGATAACACATGACTATATTGCTGCTTTATGTATTTACTATCCTATACTACTTTTTTCATTATTTGAAAGTGTACTCTTTCAACTTACAAAAATGGGGTACTGTGGTAGAGACAGTGGAGCGGGGGTGGGAGCTCAGAGGATGGATGATGGCTTCTCAGAGGGTCAGTCCCTGGGCAGTGTGCTGGGTTGTGCTGGCAGCAGCCTCTTACATCTCTTGTTTACCGTGTCTTTTGATTGCATCGTTTTCTCTTGTGCTTGATTTAATCTTGTGTTGTTTTGTGCAGTAACGTGCTGTAGAGTTTTGTAGCCTAGGAACAATAGGCCGTACCATCTAGCCTAGGTGTGTAGTGGGCTATAACATTTAGGTTTGTTGTAAGCACCCTCAATGACTTTTGTACAATGACAAAATCACCTAACACATTTCTTAGAACGTATCCCCTCCCTTAAGCGGCGCAGGACTGGACTATTAGCCCCATGAAAGACAGAAAAACAAAGGCTCTGAGAGGCAAGATTACATAGCCAGTGGGGAGCAAACAGCAGGGGTTCAAACCCAGGTTTGTCTAATGACCCATGCCCTAGGCCCAAAGAGAGGAAAGGACGAGGCTCAGGACACACAGCAAGGGGCTGGGATTCTAGGATTTCTTATGGATGGACTTAAGGGCAGTAATCTGGCTGGGGGTGAGTGTGGGGGATGGGAGGTTGGAGTTTGCCTGGCTTTTAATAAAAACGCATCCATTACCAACATCAAAGAACAGGGGTGGCTGATGGAGGTTACTGAGGCACCGCTAAGCCCTCCTCAGTCGCACCTGCACCTGCTCCCTCTCCCACTCCAGGGCAGCCAGGCAAGCTTGGGGCTCCCTGATCCCACCAAACAGGGCTAAGGAAGGGCTGGGCAGACCCCCGCAGGGCGGGGCCTCCCCACAGGGCCGGCAGATCTAAAACCTCAAGACGGGCCGAGCCCCTGTTCCCCTCCCTTTTCCATCCCCTGTTGTTTCCGCCAAAGGTCCCAGTAGAAATTTCCAGCCTCGCCCCGCCCAGCCAGCGGCCCCTAGACGGGCTTTTTCCAGCCGGGTGGAAGCAGCGGGGCGTGTCCTGGCGGCCACAGTTAGAGGGGCTGGTGAGCGGCAGTCCCCACCATCTCTGCTCAGGGTCCCTGCCCCCTCGTTGTCCTCAGGGTCCCTGGCTGGCCTTGGCTCCTTAGGGACGGGCGGCTGGCCAGGGGAGTTGGGCTCGGGACGTCCTGGCAAACAGGAAATGAGACAAAGGCGACTGCTTATCGGCCCCGCATTCCAGTCAGGTGATGGCCAGGAGGACTCCGGCTGGCCCCAAGAAGCTGCCGGCCAAAGAGAGGACCCCCCAGGCTGGCCTCCCCTCAGGACTCTCCCATGGAGGCGAGGAGGATTCTTGCGGTGGGGAGCCTCCCCTCTTGGCTCCTGGCAAGGCGGGGACTCCCTACTGACATCTGTGCCTAGAGAGATGTGCTGGGGCTCAGGTCTTGGAGGCAAGCGGAGGGGAAAAATGGGTCATAATCACTTAACCCTTCCACAAACTGTAATGCCATCCTATGCCAGGGTACCCGTGTGGATACCAGGACCCACTAATGAACCGGCTCTGATCCCTGTACTCAGGGAACTTCCAGCATAACCAGAGGAGGGAGGAAGACACCCAGATAAGTGAAATCTTAGGTGAAAGGGCAGGATGCAGGTGAGTTCAGAAAGGGGGTGTCTAAACGAGGCGGGGTGGTATTGGGGTGGTTTGGGGAAACATCAGTTCCCCTCCACAGGTACTGTCTGAATGGAGGAACCCTGGAGTTGACTTTCAAATAGGAGTGGGACGGAATGGAAGTTATCTATCTGAACTGGGGGAACAGCATGTGCAAATGCCCGATGGTCTGCCTGTAAACTGGACATTTGAAAAGCAATGAAGATTCTGGAGTTGCCTGGGCAGAAGATGAAGAAGCTGGTGAAGATGCTGGTTAGGCAGGTCCTGATGACCTTGAATGCCAAGCTGAAGCCTAGGCTTATTTTGCTGGTACTGGGAGACTGGGGAGGTAGGGTAGGGAGAGGGCTTGGGGAGCAGGCCCAGCTTAGCCCAGGGGCAGGGGGAGGAGAGGGGGCCCCCTCGCCTGGGTGACTTGGAGAGGCTGATGTGTAGAGACAGAGGCTCAGCTTCTGTGGGGCCATGCCCCCCTTGCCTGCTGCGCACTGGCGCCGGTTCTGCTGATTGGTGGGTTGCCCACCCCTCTCAAGCAGCGCTGATTCAGCATCTGAATGGTTCCCACTGGCTCATGTCTCTCTGGGGGCCAAAGGTCATGCCATCCAAGCTCCACCTCCAAGTGGGTCTGTGCCCAGGGCACTGACAGGCTGAATGGAAACTAAGATGTCTAGTCCACCCACCCCTGCCAACCAGCAAGGCCTCAGGCCATCCTTTCTGCTGTCTAACCACATGCCACCCCAACTGTGGCCTGGCTTTCGATTCCCAGAAGTTCCAAGCTACTAGCGTTATCAATATTTTGTTTTTATTTTAAAACAGTGAAAAGAAAAATAAATATCTTTGGAGAATAAGAGTACAGGAGTGGGGTGGGGTAGTGGGGTTGGAGACTTGGGGGTGTCCTGGTTTTGGTGGTCTTGCATGGGGGTGCCGCGGGCCTGGGATCTGTAGCCTGGCTCCTCCCAGGCCAGGCTCTGCCCGTCCCAGCTGGGAGATCTGGGGCTCCACCAGCCTCACCTGCCCGCGGCTCCCAGGCTGGGCGCTGTGTCAGCGGAACCCGTGGGGATTGGGCCCCTGGCGCCCACCTGCGTCCATATCACCATCAGGTGGGCGGGCGGGCGGAGCAAGGGGGCGCTACCCCACAAGGGGCTCTTCTGCTGGCTGGCCTGGTGTGGTCTGCAGCCTCAGTGGTGATTCATGTCCTCCATGCCCACGCGGCCCCAGACGCCCAGCACGAAGCTCTCAATGTCACACTCATTGGCGCCACGCATGATGCGGAAGTGGCCCCTCTCGCCCCAGGCTGGGCCCCACGAGTTGGCAGCCGTCTGGGAATGAGGAACAGCCATGAGCAGAGGCGAGAGAAAGGGATCAGGAGGAGCGCTGAGCTGGGGCAAGGGGACAGCGGGTGCGCAGGGACTCACCCAGTATTTGAGCGTCCTTCCATCAGGCAGAGTGTCCTCTCCCCACCTGTGGGCCAGAGCCAGGGAGGGGCAAGGGCGCTGATTCCACCTGCTTTCAGGGGCTCCACCCTGGGCCTTCCCTATCCAGGCCCCTGGTGCCATGGGTGATTTGGGTACACCCTGAGGACTTGGGCAGGTCTCTGTCCCTGCCTGCGCCTCCCTCAGTCTCCACATCTCTAAGTCTGCATGCCTGTGCCCAGTGTGTGGGGGAAGGCACAGAAAGGATAACTGGAGGGGTATGCAGAAAAGGGGGGAACCTGGGCCTCCTTCCCTTAGGGACCCACACCTGTGTACCAGTTCTCTGGGACCTCACACTTTTGCCTTCCCACCCTCCTCACTTGGGGAGCCAGGGAAAGGTGGGCACCAGGGACCAGAAGGAAGAGACTCAAAATGTGGGTTCCTTAGAGGCCCCAAACTCCCACTGCAAAGTACATTTCATTGGTTTCACAATTGAAATCAGTGACTCTAACATGTCCTGTTATCTCAGGTGGGGAAACTGAGGGCTGGGGGAGTGAGTCAGGCAGAGTTGGGAACAGGTGCTTAGATATAAGAGACTGAGCAACTCTTGAATCCTTGTCTATATTTCATTGGCGTTATTTTATCCCAATATGTAAGGAAGTCCCTATAAAACCCCAGTGTTTGGTCTGACCAAGTCAAGTCCCTCCTCTTTTTGAGTCTTGGTTTCCTCCTCTTTCAAATCGGGCTTTGCAAAGACCACGGTCAGGATTCAAGGTAGGCTCAGAGCCCCCAGTGCAAGCTTAGCTGCCCCCAACTCCCTCCACCCCCCAAGCCCCTCACCCTGTGATCTTGACCGAATGGGTCCCGTGCCGGCGGTATCGCTCTGGCCTCCCAAGGCTCACTGGTGTGTGGCTGTAGATGCCGCCCTGGTACAGAAAGAAGTCCTCGTGCACCTCCATGAGGGCTGTGGGCAGAGGTCACAGTAGGGCCAGCTCAGCCTGTTAGCACAGGCACCAAAGCTGGAGTCTGGAGATGCATCTCCAAGCCCCAGAGCCTCTCATACCAAGATTCTAAGTGCCACCTCCAGTGGTGCTGCCCATGGGGCGGGTACATGGTCCTCTCACTCCCAGCCCCAATGGACTTGCTGCTCAATGCCGTACTGACCACTTGTGCTGCTGTGCTTAGTCTCAAGCAGGCACAAGCTTCTGAAACCAGGGAGCAGGATGAGGGGCATTTACCTTGGACAGGGCCATTCTCCATCAGCTCCTTCATGATTTCCTTCTCCTGGAGGGTGGGGGGTGGGGGGGTGAGGAGGACAGTATCCATTAGGGGTGAGGTGCCAGCCTTTGGCCAGCCTTCCAACTCTTCCTCTGCCCCCTCACCCAACTGCAGACTTACACTGGAGCCAAGGCGGTAAGCAGGAGTGACCTGGTAGATGTCATTAGCATGGACAAGGTGATTGGGGCAGCGAGCAGTGGCCTGGCGCTTGCCCCGGCCCATGGGCCGGCTGTGCATCATACAACGGGGTTTGGGGCCAGCCTCATCCGGCTCCCGGCCCGAGAATGGGTAGCAGTGGTCAGACACAACCCTGGAGGGGCGGCAGGCAGGAGTGAGCATGGTGCGGGCCCTTCCTGCAAGAGGCCTTCCTAAGGCCCCTGCTGCACGCCCTCTTCCCCTCGCACACCCCCTGCCGCTCACCCTCGACGTCGCAGGAACCACCAGGCACCGTCGAGTCGCCCACCGCGGCAGCCATGCTGGTTGTGCTTGTCACAAGACAGCAGGTTCTGGGGCGATAGGACAGGTGTCATGTGCCCCAGAGAATGGATTGAGACACGATCGGATGCCACGGCTGGTGGGAGGAGGCAGAAAGGCCATCAGAGGGCTCAGGCCTTAGCCCTCCTTGCCCACCGTGCCAGCCCCTGCCCTTGGACTTACCTGCTGTGGAGAAGGCCCAGGAGCCTGCACAGTTGCCCTGGTCGAGAGGCTCGTGGATTAGGTTGGGCCACTTCTCAGAGGCCTCAAAGGCTGTGGGCAGCACCTCCCCTGGGAGCAGCACTGTCTGCAAGGCGAAAGTCACTTGGTCGGCTTCCTGCCTCTGCCTAGCCTGCGCCTCAGGGGCCTGTGGGCATTGCAGGGCCACCAAGAGTCCAAGGCCTTCTTGATCTCGAGTCTTCCTGCTGCAAAAGGATTCCAGCAACTTCCACGTTGATTCAAGTAGAAGACCCAAGCGCCATTTAGTGCCTCCCTAGTGTCAGATGGGGGGTGACTAGTCCTGTTTTACAGAGGAGGCAACTGAGGCCAGGAACAGGGAGGTAGCCAGGCCAGGGTCACCCTGCTTTCCACCCTCAATCCCTGCCTTGTTCCTCCTCTGCACCTTCCAATCTGCCACATCCTCCTTCCTACCAGGACCTTGGGCTTTAGGCCCCAAAGGTCAGGGGAGGGAAGAAGCAGTCACGTCTCTGCCAAGACAAACAGCGGGAGCAGAAAATAGCCGAGGCCCCAGGGAGTAAGGGCAGTGGCAGGGTCTGCTCACCCAGCCTCGAGCTAAAGTCCCTCTGCAGGGAGGACCGCTCTAGCCAGTCCCTGCCTCCTCCTTGCCCACCACGGACAGAGCCTCCAGCACGTGTCTCAGCCCTGTCCTGCTGAAGTGCCCGCTTCACCCTTTGACTGTTCTGGGTCTGGTTCCCATTTCTCCCTCAAGAGGGTCCCACTGGAGGAAAGGGAGAAACCCCCTCCTCCTCAGGGTTCCACTGAGTCGTCATTTGTTTCCGAGAATTGCTGCTCTCTGGCCAGAGCTGGAAGAGTGTCTGTCCCTCCCTTCCTAAAATACCAACGTGACCCCTTGGCCCCTTGGGCCTTGACTCAGCTGTACTGGGACCAACAGCATTTTTCCCAGGCTGGGGAGGCCAGGAAGGGGCTCATGCTGGAACCACAACATTCAGAATCTGAGCATCAGTTCTTCTAGTGCAGTGCATCTTGTTATGAGCAAGAACTTAGGGCCCAGAGAAGGGGAGGGACATACAGCCTACTGGAGAGGAATAGGCCCAGGCCCAGGCCCTTGGCGGAATAAGGAACAGGGTACCAGGGTCCTAAACCATGAGGAGTTGGCAGCATTGTGGGCGAGAATGAACTTACGTGAATCTCATTCATGTTGGTAACGGAGGAAGGTGGGCGGATGGTGCCCAGGCGGTAGCGAATGCCCTCATCCAGGGTCATGCCCCAGAAGGCACTATGGTTCCCAGCCCGCCACCTGAAAGAGAAGAGATGGAAGTGACACACCTGCCAAGGTTGGGAGTCTTGGAGGTACGTGCATGTGGGTGGGAGAGCCGCATATTGGCTAAGTGTACACATGAATAAGATCTGGGTGTGGCTGTGCCTGGCAGGACACGTATCTCGGGCAGAATGTATGTGTTGTGTATGCACGTGCCTGTGTGCCCACTGGGGGGGCATTTCCAGGGCCTCTCACCCGTAGTTGCCCTGGTTGATGGCGTCGATCATGTCTTGGTCCACTAGGCATGGTTCCTGATCACACTCCCACTGCCCTTTCTCCTGGCAGGTGCTGGGAGAACAGGAGGGAAGGAAGAGGTGAGTGGGTGCTGGGCACCCTCTGAAGGGAAGAGGCCTCAGAGGTCAACCTGGGCCTGAGAGTCTGTACCAGCACCTATGGCAAGACGCTTAGATGCTCCCATCTAGCCTGGTGGCCTTACATGTCAACTTCAAGTTCATAATTCTCAAGTTTATATTCACCTGGATCTCTCCCTATACTCCAGATTCATGAATCTTGCTGCTACTCAACATCACCACTGGGGTGTCTAACAACAGTTCAGACTTAACACATCCCAAACCAAATCCGCGGTCTCCCTTACTCCCGAGCCTGCTCCTCCCACAGTCCCCAGAAAACGGCCACCCCATCCCTCCCGGAGCTCAGGCCAGAAG